GGTCCTATTGTCATCTTTTTCCATTGCATCTTATTTCATCATCCACATTTAAAGTCTCTCCATATTATCCAACATATTTGTTAAATCAGAAGTGTTGTTAAAATCCTGCCAATGTTTCCATTTGCTTACAGTGGTCTCTTAAATACAGTGGTACCTCTGGTTGCGAACGGGATCCATTCCGGAGCCCCGTTCGCAACATGAGCGTTTGCACGTGCGCGGGTCGTGATTCACCGCTTCGGCGCATGCGCATGATGTCATTTTGCCAACAGCTTAGTTTGCCATTCTTCTCTGGTAGGGACTTTATCTTCTTTCCATCTCTGAGCTAGTAGCATCCGTGTGGCTGTCGTTGCATACATGAAAAGTATTTCCCTCTCCTTTGGAATTTCTGTACTTACAATTGCTAATAAAAAAAACTTCTGGTTTCTTTATAGAAGTTATTTGAAACTCTTTCTTTCATTTCATTATATATCATTTCCCGGAATTCTTTTCTTACCTTACATTTCCACCACATATGATAAAAGGTACCTGACAAAGCTGGTCTTCCAACAGACCTGGTGGGGACCCTGCAAAAATTCTTCCCACAAAAGCCAAGACGTAATGTGTTTCCTGCATTGCATTTGAAACACACAACTGTGTTTAAATGAATTTTTTAAAAATGCAAATAGGTCACATCCTAGTTGGATTGCAGCCAATTAAGTTCTACTCGCAGAAGACCCATTAATTCCAATAATAACTAACACCAAATACAATCCCATACATTTAAAGCACTCTTACACCACTGTCAGTGAAGAATCCTGGGAACTGTAGTTTGTCGAGTCTCTCCTCTCACCCCTCAGCACCCTTTTAAAAAACTACAGTTCACATGATTCTTTGGGGTAAACCGTGGCTGTATAACATTATAGAATAATGCTTTGAATTATTGCCTTTTGTTAGAACAGCAAGAAATAAAACAGCAGATATTAAGGAAGGTATCTCGGCAAGAGAACATTTGCATATCCCTGAATGCAAAAGGCAAATTCCAACTTCGTGACAAGGGAGAAGTTTGGTTTTGCTGTTTAGGCTGAGAGGCCACAAGAAATGACAGGAAACACTGCAAAATTGGGCAACGGTAGACGCAGATCAAGGAGGGGAAATGAAGTCTTTCTTCACACAAGTGTGTAATGGAATTTGCCACCATGAGACGCAGCTTTTTTCAAAGTTTAGTGTTCAATTCCTCCTCATTCAGGCCACCGACAGTTTAGAGAACTGTTAGTCAGCTTTTAACGGCTTTGCAGATTACAGCTGTGTACACAATATATAATTAAAGCACATTCAGAGAACATTCTCTCTCCTCAAAGAATTCTGGGCACTGTAGTTAGTAAGAGTTGCTGGGAATGGTAACTCAGTGGGGAGTAAACTACAGTGCCCAGAAGTCTGTGCAGGGAAGGCTGTGTTTTGTATATGCTTTAAAGGTACAGTCACAGAACTGTGCAGTTGTAAGAGACTCCAAGGGTTATCTAGTCCAAACCCCTTGCAATGCAGGAATCACAGCTAAAGAATCCATGACAGACGGCCATCCAACCTCTGCTTTAAAACCTCTAAAGAATGAGAGTCCGCCACCTTCCAAGGGAGTCCTTCCCACTGTCCAATAGCTCTTACCATCAGAAAGTTCTTCCTAATGTTTAGTCGGAATTTCCTTTCTTGTACAGTGGTATCTCTGGTTGCGAACGGGATCCATTCCGGAGGCCCGTTCGCAACAAAGAATGCAACCCACAGCGGCACGTCTGCGCATGTGCGGGTTGTGATTCGCCACTTCTGCGCATGCGCATGACGTCACTTTGTGTGCATGCGTGAGCGGCGAAACCCAGAAGTAACCCTTTCCGGTACTTCCGGGTTGCCGCGGGACATAACCTGAAAGAATGTAACATGAAGTGGACCTAACATGAGGTATGACTGTACAGTGGTGCCCCGCAAGACGAATGCCTCGCAAGATGAAAAACCCGCTAGACGAAAGGGTTTTCCGTTTTTGAGTTGCTTCGCAAGACAAATTTCCCTATGGGCTTGCTTCGCAGGATGAAAACGTCTTGCGAGTCTTGCGATTTTTTTCGCTTTCCCCCCCTTTTTCTAAGCCGCTAAGCCGCTAATAGCCTTTTAGCCGCTAAGCCTTTAATAGCCGCTAAGCCGCTAAACCGCTAGTAGCGCTAATCCGCTAAGCTGCTAATAGGGTTGCTTCGCAAGACGAAAAAACCGCTAGACGAAGAGACTCACGGAACGAATTATTTTCGTCTTGCGATGCACCACTGTAATTTGAATCCATCTCTTTGAGTTCTACCTTCCAGAGCAGGAGAATAATGCTTTGAATTATTGCCTTTTGTTAGAACAGCAAGAAATAAAACAGCAGATAACAGGAAGGGCCATGGGACAGCCCTTGAGATAGTTGAAGATGGCAGTTAGGAGGGCCACCACATGGAAGATGGAGTAAGATTGCTTTCTGCTACTCCACAGTTAAGGGTTTTTTGCAAAGCCTCAGCTTTAAGTGCCCTTCTGGGATAGTGAAAGAAAGGTAGTATAACTGAGAATATGTTAGATGGTAATAAAGATGTTTATTATTAATCTCTAGACCTGGTACCAAGTTATTCTTTGGGCTCACTGACCCCTTGTCTGATTTGAAGCACCGGGAAACTGAGTCCTTTCGCTTCTTTGAGGCGCCTTTGCTTAAGCTTCTGCTGCCGTGGCTGCTCCACTTATATTCACAGGTAACCATGTTACACAGTCAGGTGTGTCAAAGAGGGATAAGAGGTTGATACTGTCGTCGTTTATTGCAGTCTTCTGCTGCTTTATACAGAAGGAAAAGTCCCAAAGCGATTTGAAAGTCTTGAAGCAACAATATGAAATGCAACAAATAAAAGCAATTCAAAACCAGAACGTTGAATACAAAATATGCTAATCCAATAACATATTAGTAAGTGCAAGTCTTATCCACTTCGCTAAAAGGTGAGCAGCAACATAAGAAGCTAATGCGATTACCAAGGGCCTGAGTGAATAAAAAGGTCCTGGCCTGGCACCTAGAGACCGACAATGATGGTGCCAGGTGTGTCTCCTTGGGGGAGAGCATTCAACAGACAGGGGAGCCACCACTGAAAAGACCTATTTTCATTCACCTTCTGCACCTTCCTCAGGTGGGGCCTACAGAGAAAGCCTCTGATGAAGATGGCAGGGTCTGGCCTGGATAAAATTTCGGACAATCTTATCTGCATGGATATTTTTTTCATCGCCATCTCGCTCCTTGATCTCAATGAGGTTGGGAGTTTCAGTAAAAAGCACAAATATTTCTCACATATTCTAACTACTATGGATAATTTTATATATATATAATGTTATACACATATTCTATGCATTAATACTCCTAAAGTTACCAGTACAGAAACAGAAACGTACAATACATAGAACAGTATAAAATAAGCCTTCAAAATGTACAAACTTGGGATCCAAATGCACCATAGCTTTAAAGCAGGATCGTGCCACTTTAAACAGTCATGGCTTCCCCCAAAGAATCCTGGGAAGTGTAGTCTTTCATGGTGCTGAGAGTTTTAGGAGACCCCTTACTCCCCTCACTGAGTTACAATTCCCAGAGGTCCCTGTGAAATGGTTTTGGTTGTTAAACCACTCTGGGAATTGTAGCTCTCTAGGGGGAATAGGGGTGAACTGCCAACTCTCAGCACCCTTAACAAACTACAGTTCCCAGGATTCTTTGGGGGAAGCCATGATTCTATGACTGTTTAAAGTGGCATGGTACTGCCTTAAAGGTATAATGCAGATGGGTGGGGTCTTGGTTTGTCCCTCTGGGGCAGGGGTTCTCAACCTGTGGGTCCCTAGATGTTGTTGGACTACAACTCCCATCATCCCTGAGCTCTGGCCTTGCTAGCTAGGGGTGTTGGGAGTTGTAGTTCAACAATATCTAGGGCAGTGTTTCCCAACCGGTGTTCCGCGGCACACTAGTGTGCCGCGAGACGTTCCCTGGTGTGCCGTGGGAGGGAGGCGGGCGAGTCGGGCGGCGAGAGGCGGGGCGGCGGCGGCGAGGATCCGCGTCGAGCCGGGGGCGGCTCCGCGGTGGTGGTGCCGAGGTTTCTCTCTCCATTCTCCCCTCACACACACACACAGGAAATAACACAGGATCAGCTGACAGGACCCGGCCAATGGGGCGGCGGCGGGGCAGCGCGCGCAAAAGGGAGGAGCGCGAGACAGCGGACGAGGAGGAGGCCGGCATGTCCGGGCAGCAGCAGCAACAACAGCAGCAGCAACTCCCGGCGACGGCTCCTCAAGCCCCGGGCAACCCTACTCCCTCACCGGCCTCGGCCGCCCTCCTGCTCCACCCGCCGCCGCCTCCCCCGCCGCCGCCGGCCACCTCAGCCCCGCCGCCGCCCCCTCCTCCGCCCGCTATCGCCGCCACCACCACAACAGCCGCCGCCGCCTCAGCTGGGCCCATGCCTGCCCCGGCGCCCTTCCCTCCCGGCGTGACGCTGCGCGCTGACGTCACGGGGCTGTAATGGTGGTGTGCCTCAAGATTTTTTTCATCAAACAAGTGTGCCTTTGCCCAAAAAAGGTTGGGAAACACTGATCTAGGGACCCACAGGTTGAGAAAGGCTGCTCTGGGGTTTCCATAGAGCCAGCAAACAAGCACAAGAAATCTCCAACTGTAACTAGATAATTAAGACTGTCCCTTTTAAAAGGTAAAGGTAAAGGTACCCCTGCCCATACGGGCCAGTCTTGACAGACTCTAGGGTTGTGCGCCCATCTCACTCTATAGGCCGGGGGCCAGCGCTGTCCACAGACACTTCCGGGTCACGTGGCCAGCGTGACAAGCTGCATCTGGCGAGCCAGCGCAGCACACGGAACGCCGTTTACCTTCCCGCTAGTAAGCGGTCCCTATTTATCTACTTGCACCCGGGGGTGCTTTCGAACTGCTAGGTTGGCAGGCACTGGGACCGAGCAATGGGAGCGCACCCTGCCGCGGGGATTCGAACCGCCGACCTTTCGATCGACAAGTCCTAGGCGCTGAGGCTTTAACCCACAGCGCCACCCGCATCCCTAAATTCTGTGTTTCTGCAATACTACACTCTGCAGGATAGTTCTAGAGTAAATAATATTAGCTTCACATATCTTAAAGGTAAGATTTGTACTTTGATATGCAGGCCATCCCAGCGTACAGCTTACAAAACAGCATAGACCTTGGTTGCCTCCAAATGCCGAGCCACCATTTTGCTTCAGGTTATTCCCAACCCGCCATCCCAAAACCACTGTTTTGTACTTGGCTGTGAATGCGGGATGGGGAGGGAAGACTCAAGGATCAGGGTGGAGAAAAGACTAAAGCAGGGTTTCGCAAACTTGTGTCTCCAACTGCTGTTGGACTACAACTCCCATCATCCCTAGCTAGCCAGACCAGTGGTTAGGGATCATGGGAACTGTAGTCCAACAACAGCTGGAGACACAAGTTTGTGAAACCCTGACCTACAGTTTCCCCCTTCTGCTCTAGACAAGGTGACACTCTATCTCCAAACTGGATTTGCTCTTGGTTAACACCTGCGCTGAGGTCTCGCTGAAAGCATTCTGAAACGCTGCAAGGACCGATGTCCTCAGCTTCTCCCTGAAGTCGTGCCCTACGAAGACATACAGGAAAGGGTTCAGGCAGCTGTTGACGTAGGCCAGGCCCGAGGCCAAAGGTACCCCCACCACCAGAATGGTCTGCAGCCAGGGTGTTACTGTGGTGACTGACATCTCCAGGAAGGAGAAGACGTGATAGGGGAACCAGCAAATGAAGAAGGCCAAGACAACTGCCACCATGATCTTGAAGGGTCTGCCTGAGCGTGTGAGGCGGCTGCCCTTCAGCCTGGCCGTGATGATGCCGTAACAGAACAAGATGATGGTGAACGGCACCAGGAACCCAACCACGAAGCGGGTCATCACCATGGCTCGGTGACGATCCTCTCCCAGCTTGGCAACCTCCTCCGAGTCCAGGTCATCCGACAAGGCAAAGTTGTTGTAGCAGTGGGTGGTATTCTCCTCGCCGGTAGAGCTCCTGGTGTCCCGGAAGAAAAAGTATGGGGAGCTGAGAGCCATGGCTGCTAACCAGATGCCCAACGCCACCATAGAAGCCAGCCGGGGCGTGCGGTAGTTCTGGGCCCAGACGGGACAAGCCACAGAGACGCAGCGGTCCATGCTGATGACAGTGAGTAGGAAGACGCTGGCAAACATGTTGAGGAAGGCCACGGTGGTGTTGAGCTTGCACAGAGCCTTCCCGAAGGGCCAATGGAAGCCGAGGGCCATGTAGGCCACACTCAGCGGGAGGAAGAAAGTGAAGACAAAGTCGGCCAAGGCCAAGTTGAGGAACCAGACAGTGTTGACAGTCCTCTTCATGCGGAAGCCAGTGACGAAGATAACCAGGCCGTTCCCTATCACCCCCAGCAGGAAGGCCACGCTGTAGAGCACCATGGAGAGCAGATGCATGGAGTCGCGGAGGCCGCTGTTGTCGTCAAAGTCAGGATAGTCCTCATAGTCTCCATAAAGGCTTTCTTGTGAGGTGGCATTGTCGGCCATTTTGGAGAAAGAGAACTTGAGCGAAATTGGGGTGAAGGGTGACCTGTGGGAAAAGGAACTGTGATTTGAAAGGCATGGAGTAACATTATACACATACTGTTTGTTGAATGAGTTGGGTTAAGAAAAAAAATGGCCAGGGCATAAGGGCTTAAAACAAGGCTGGAGAATCTGTGGCCCTCCAGGTCCAGTTGGACATGGATGCCCATCAGCTCCACCCACCATGCAAGGCACAGATTCTACACTCTTGACCTGAAATGATTTACTCAGGCTTGTAAATGCTAGCTGCTGACTGGGTTGTTTATAATGATCGACAATTACTTCCAGAGACTCGCACAAGGAAAATCCTTTCACCCCACCCTGTTAAGTCATTGATGACTCGTGTTGGCATATTTGTTTTACCCACAACACCATTTTCTGAGCCACTGCTATGGACTGCCGCCATATTTCTAGACTTTTTCAGCAGCCCTGAGGACTGGCAACTTGGGGGTTGCTTTAAAAAGCCTACTGGCATCCTCAAGAAGCCAATTTTTCAATCAAGCATTAGACCATGTCCACATTTGCCCAGAATCCTGTAGGATATGCACTCTGCTTTATTATCTAACTTCTGAACAGGGATTGAAAATAAGGACAGAAACTACATACAACAGCCATGTGCAATTGGTCCTCAATGGGTTTTTATCTGCTTCTGCTTCTTTCTGTTTTTTACAAAATGCAGCCTCAGAGGAGGAACAGTTCTACATATTTGTTGGCAGCAAGATGATGTAAGTGGCACCCCTCCCTGGACCTGCCCATTTCATTACTACTGCCCATTTATTTCACATCTCCTTATAGGCAAAGCAAGTGGGAGCTAAGAAGGAAGAGAGGCATTCAATTTTACCTAATTTGTGGTTCTCAATATGATACACCAGCAGCGTGCCCTCCAGATATTGTTGGATGACAACTCTCATTCAGCCACAATCACCATGGTCACTTGTCAGTGATGACGGGCTTCGTATTACATTCAAAAATGTATTACAGTTGGGGAAATTGCTTGCAAAAACATGCATATTAGTCAAAATGTGTGAGTTTAGGACAAATCCACACGAAAACGCTGTTGAATTTTCATGAGGATTCTTTTTTAAAAAATCCAGAAATTGCTGCAGAAGAATGGTGAACTGAATTTAAGATTGGAAAAACGAGACAGATTAGAGAACTGGGCCAAAACAAACAAGATGAATTTTAACAGGGAGAAATGTAAAGTATTGCACTTGGGCAAAAAAAATGAGAGGCACAAATACAAGATGGGTGACACCTGGCTTGAGAGCAGTACATGTGAAAAGGATCTAGGAGTCTTGGTTGACCACAAACTTGACATGAGCCAACAGTGTGACGCGGCAGCTAAAAAAGCCAATGCAATTCTGAGCTGCATCAATAGGAGTATAGCATCTAGATCAAGGGAAGTAATAGTGCCACTGTATTCTGCTCTGGTCAGACCTCACCTGGAGTACTGTGTCCAGTTCTGGGCACCACAGTTCAAGAAGGACACTGACAAACTGGAACGTGTCCAGAGGAGGGCAACCAAAATGGTCAAAGGCCTGGAAATGATGCCTTATGAGGAACGGCTAAGGGAGCTGGGCATGTTTAGCCTGGAGAAGAGGAGGTTAAGGGGTGATATGATAGCCATGTTCAAATATATAAAAGGATGTCACATAGAGGAGGGAGAAAGGCTGTTTTCTGCTGCTCCAGAGAAGCGGACACGGAGCAATGGATCCAAACTACAAGAAAGAAGATTCCACCTAAACATTAGGAAGAACTTCCTGACAGTAAGAGCTGTTCGACAGTGGAATTTGCTGCCAAGGAGTGTGGTGGAGTCTCCTTCTTTGGAGGTCTTTAAGCAGAGGCTTGACAACCATATGTCAGGAGTGCTCTGATGGTGTTTCCTGCTTGGCAGGGGGTTGGACTCGATGGCCCTTGTGGTCTCTTCCAACTCTATGATTCTATGATTCTATGAGAGACTGAGTAACCTAAAAGGACAGGTCTGCCCTATCTCTAGGGGAGGCTGTTTCCCCTTCTATCACAGCTTCATGCTAAGAGGGGCACAGTCAACATGTCTCCACAGCAAGGCAGAGCAAGTCCTAGGGGCTCCAGGAGTTGGCAGCAACCCACTTCCTCGAGTATAAGCCTTGTTGGGTACCCAAGAATCCTGACCCTGGACCAGAGCTGTCAAGCGTCCCTTATTTGGTGGGACAGTCCCTTATCCCAGCGCCATGTCCCGCTGCTGTCCCTTATTGATGAGGCTTCATTTGGCTGCTGGCTGGGCTTTCTGCCTTTGGCTCGGAGGGGCTCAGAAGTTGAACATACCTGTGCCCAGAAAATCCCTTATTTTGGCTGCTGGTCCCTTATTTTCAAATCTGTAAGTTGACAGCTATGCCCTGGACACTTGCTCTTCCCCAGAGGCTACAAACTCAAAATGGAAATCCTGCATCGGGTGGGGGGAGTGCTTTTAAACTCTTTCCACAGATGCCATTTTCCATTTTTTAAAAAGCTCCCCAAAAATATGTTTTTGGCCCTGCAAGGAAAAGCTACAGGTTCCTAACACACTTAACATTTTCAGAACTGCTTTTTTCTATCTGCTCTTCCCGGTGTTTGGGATTTATCCAAAAGCTAGAGGATTCAGCGCAGATCCCAGAGAAGGAAGATGAAAAATGCCACAAGCAGCTATACACTGTTTAGCCACTAAGTGGAAGTAGAGATTTAAACTAGCAGCAAGTTTCTCTCCAACTTCTGCGACCTGCGAGTGCTGTGCACCTTCCTAGCATCTGCCTTGTGCTTTCCAACAAAGCTGGATATCGTGATGGAACCAGTTTCACTTTCAGGAGAAAGATCCATAGGGAGCTATTATTTTGTAACGGTGCTGGCAATTTTTTTCTCCAGAGTCTTAACCTTACAAGTCCTTGAGACTGAAATGAGATTGAAAGCAAGGCTCATTTGTAATTGGATACACTCCTTTCACCTAAAGCAATGCTTTCTGACTGAACTCTTCCTCTAACCCATAGGTAGGCAAACTAAGGCCCAGGGGCCAGATCTGGCCCAATCGCTTTCTAAATTCGGCCCGCGGACGGTCTGGGAATCAGCGTGTTTTTACATGAGTAGAATGTGCCCTTTTATTTAAACTGCATCTCTGGGTTATTTGTGGGGCCTGCCTGGTGTTTTTACATGGGTAGAATGTGTGCTTTTATTTAAAATGCATCTCTGGGTTATTTGTGGGGCATAGGAATTCGTTCATTCCCCCCCCTCAAAATATAGTCCGGCCCCCCACAAGGTCTGAGGGACAGTGGACCACCCCCCTGCTGAAAAAGTTTGCTGACCCCTGCTCTAACCTATGGATGGGGTAATGTGGGACTTACAGCCCCCATCAGCCCCAGTCAAAGTGGCAAAACAGGACAGGGCTCCTGTTCCTTTAATACTTGTGTCGATGGGGGAAGCTTCAGCAAGTGTATCTCTGTAAGCACAACTCTTAAAGGTGCAGGAGCTGTGTCCCATTCATTTATTTCAGCTAAGGTTGGGCAAATTGATCAATTTCAGGTTTTTTGTTGTTTCCAAAATTCTGTTCTCCACATTTCACGAATTAACATTTTCAAGGCAAAGGGGAACCCTCAAGATGGTGAAGTTCTGATAAGGTGCGATAATGTCCTTTAAATAAGGGGAGGAGGAGGAGAAGAAGAAGAAGAAGAAGAAGAAGAAGAAGAAGAAGAAGAAGAAGAAGAAGAAGAAGAAGAAGAAGGGGAAGGAGAAATGAGAGAATAACTATTTTGGGGGGAAGTTGTTGTTTTTTAACTGTAATAAGAAATTTAGTTGTCCGTTTTGTTGGTTTGCTTTTTCAAAGGTTTTCTCAAGTAACATTTTTTATGGCCAAAAAATAAACATTGTCACTGAAGAAAAATTACCACTATGGAAGAAAAATAAACATACTATTTCTGACAAAAGAAAAGAAAAGAAAAGAAAAGAAGAGTATACATTTCAAAGGATGACTGTGTTTCAGTTCGCTTATTGTTTCAGAATGTGCTAATTAGGTGGGTACACCTTTACATTTCAACTGAATCAAATTTCTCCTCCACCCCTAGTTTCAACGGGGCTTGCTGAAAACTTCAATGTGCATAGATTTTCCTCTGGAAAAAAAGGACAAGAACAGCAGAGGAACACTCGGTTCAGAGCCACAGCCCCCAAAATATCATCTTTAGCCGCAGCAAAAGGATTTGTTTTGCACATGTCTTGCAGGACTTCACATTTCTTTTTCTTTCTTTCTTTTTTTGGTCTGTTAGCGCACCAGATGCCATGCAATTAGAAACTTTCCTTTGGCCAAGTCCAAAACTGCACTGCATCTGTCGTGGTTGGGGTGTTCTATGGATTGCATAGTCCAAGTGATCATTTTACGAGGTTCTCTCCAAATTTATTTTATTCATATGTTTATTTAAAATATTTTTAGGATGCCTTTCTGGGCAAATGCCTGCCCAAAGTGGCTTAAAGACAAAATCAACAACTGAGGAATAGAATAATAATAACACAAAAAGATGCCCTAGTTCTAGGTGTTGGAAGGTTTGAAGAACTGGTGGGTCAGAGAAAGAGGGGGGAAAGAGGGCAGGGCAACATCCGAAGATGATCATGTAAGGGTTGTAAACATGGTGCCCACTGTAGAATCAAAGAACTGCAGAGTTGGAAGGGGCCACGAGGGACATCTAGTCCAACCCCTACAATGCAGAAATATTTTGCCCAACATGGGACTCGAACCCATAACCCTGAGATTAAGAGTCTCATGCTATACCAACTGAGCTATCCCATATGCTGGGGTTGGGTAGGGCAGATGTCACGGACTTCCATCATCCCTGATCATTGGCTGGGCAGGTTGGGGCTGATGGGAGTCACTGCCCAGAATCTTTGGAGGGTACTGGCAACCCCTGCTGTTATCCATCTATGTCTCTGGAAGAATGCTCATAGCTACAGGGTTGCACCATCAAGAAAAAGAAAGAAGCCAGCAGGTGTGGTTTGCCCTGCCCTGCCCTACAGAAACGAACAGAATTATAGCAGAGGCAGACAAAGTTAGGATGATCGAATATCCTACATTACAAATGACAGTCCTCTGTTGAAACCAGGCCAAGTCTGGTTCAAAGATACAGCACTGGGTTGTCCCCAACTAAGTTCTAAGCAGAGGAGACCCCATGGAATGAATGGGTCTAAGTTCTTGTTTTTTTGTGGAGGGGGAGAAGGGAGGGAGGGGGCTTAATGAAATCTGCAATGTCCTACTGCCGACTTCTTCCAATTTCAGCCAAACCGCATACCCGTTTGCCTTCTAATAAGAGTTGCAAAGTGGGCAGGAACCACGAAACCTAAGGTGGGTTGATTTGCCCTGCTACCAATTGAATCCTCCTTCTCAGTCCTTTATTTGACCCGGAGCTATATGGGTAGCCTGAGCAAGATAAGGACAATGATTTCAAATGATTATCGATAGACTAACAGGAAGGATCTGGAACCGACGTGATCAAAGATTTACAGAAGATTGGATGAAATTTATTGAATATATGCAAAAATTAAGTGATAATCAGATAACGTTTGTAAGTTTTAAGGAAGCTCCGTGAAGAGAAAAGGTAGGAATATTGTAGATTGTAAAAAATTAATTAATAATATGGTGGTGTAATTTAAATTTAAGAAATGTGGAAAAAGTAAGTACTAGGAAGGTTTTTCAGGAGGGAGGAGGAAAGTCAATAAGGAGGAATTTGGATGTAAAAACGATGTTTTGGATGTATAACTTGTTATGGAAAAAGAATAAACAATATATTTAAAAATATATATATAAAGATTTCAAATGATTATCACCTTTCACCCTACAAGTCCGGAATGGATTGGAACAATTCTTAAATACAAATAACTCACAACTGATGGACATTTTACTCGCAAGCATTCAGCTTTACACTCTTGGCAAAAAAAACAACAACACAAACCATTAAAAAGGGGGTGGAAAGGGGCTGAATGTTCAGAGGGGCTTCTGCAAAGAATGCCCCATCGTGAGCCATCATCCCTCGAACTCCTGAGGTCAGTGGAATGTGAGCCCCTTAAATTGGGCCCAGAAGCAAACTGGCAACCAAGGCACCTGTTTTGAAACAGCAGCTAGTCACTGCATTTTGGGCCACTTGAAGTTTCCAAGTAATATTCAAGGGCAGCCCACATACAGATTTGCGGCACCCCAAGCCTGAGCAGCTTGAATAAGGGACTCTGGGACTTCAAGACTCTCATGCAGCACTGGGGTGAATAAGAAACTGGGAACGAGGAGCCAATACTAGCCTCACGGGGCAAAATGAGGGGGACGTGCAAAGCGGTTTGGCAATCACAATTCGATTATGGTGATTGTGCCACATTATGGCACTCAAAATTGGGAGGCATGTCAAGAACGCTAAATGCGTACATTACACTTTAATTTTCCCCCAGTTGTTGTTTTTTAATTTTTAGGGTAGATTTTTTTTAAAAAAATGCATTCTGCTTCCACAAAGCAAACCTACATTTATTTTGCATTCAGAAAAATGACAGGCAAACAGCATCAATAATAGACTTCCGACTTATTACAGGTGGAGCTTGGGAAATGCAATTGTGCCAGCCCCTAGAGCAGAGATGGGGAAGCTGTGCCACCATCCCCCAGACCTTTTTGGACTGCATCCCCCAACATCCCTGACCACACTGGCTGCAACTGATTGGCGTCCAATAACACATGAAAGAAGAAGAAGAGTTTGGATTTGATATCCCGCCTTATACTCCCTTTAAGGAGTCTCAAAGCGGCTAACAATCTCCTTTCCCTTCCTCCCCCACAACAAACACTCTGTGAGGTGAGTGGGGCTGAGAGACCTCAGAGAAGTGTGACTAGCCCAAGGTCACCCAGCAGCTGCATGTGGAGGACCCGGTTCCCCAGATTACGAGACTACCGCTCTTAACCACTACACCACACTGGCTCTCACACTGGGTCACAGCTTCCCCACTCCTGCACTAGAATCTCAGGCTATGGCCAGGAAGACCTGGGTTTAGGATTGCATGAATCTCACTGGGGGACCCTGACTTGGGCAACTTGCACTTTCAGCCAAATCTCCCTCGCAGGGTTGTTGTGAAGGTAATAAGGGAGGGAGCTATGTGCTGCCAACTTTCAGTGCCCCACAGACTGCTCTCAAGTCAGATCCCACTTCCCTGCCTTCTTCGGTAAAGGTAAAGGGACCCCTGACCATTAGGTCCAGTCGCGGACGACTCTGGGGTTGTGCGCTCATCTCACTTTATTGGCCAAGGGTGCCGGCATACAACTTCCAGGTCATGTGGCCAGCATGACTAAGCTGCTTCTGGCAAACCAGAGCAGCACATGGAAACGCCGTTTACCTTCCTGCCGGAGCGGTACCTATTTGTCTACTTGCACTTGGACATGCTTTTAAACTGCTAAGTTGGCAGGAGCAGGGACCGAGCAACAGGAGCTCATCCCGTCACGGGGATTCGAACTGCCGACCTTCTGATCGGCAAGCCCTAGGCTCTGTGGTTTAGACCATGGCGCCACCCGCATCCCTACCTTCTTATCTACACCCAATCCAGGGGGTGGCATTGCCAGCCAGCTTCCTCCCCCTTAGCCTCAGTGTTGTCCAGTGTTTTGCACCTCAGCATGGAAGAGGATGGAGATGAAAAGTAGAATTAATTGGCTCCACCAGCCATTAGCTCTGGCTCCACCTACTGTTAGGCTTCTGTTTCCGGCCCTACCATTCTCCAGTGCACACCACCCACCACTGCATGCTGCAATGAGAAGGAACAAGCAAACAAACAAACAAACAAACAAACAAACAAAGTAGGTGCAATAACAATCTATAAACTTCCTGAATGGGTGTTCAAACCCTACATACCACCCCACCAACGATGCTACCGAAGGGAAATTATATCAGCCTTACCTTTGAGCCCTTATCTCCCTAAATCTTTCTGTTTTTCTCACCTTCCTGGCCTCCGTACCTCTGGTTCTGGGGCTCTTCGGGGACCTTCTGTCTGTCTCTGAGCTCTCTGAGAGCCGCTGGTCCCTTGCAGGCTAGAGAGACTCACAGGTTGGGTGTGTGCATTCCTAGGGAGATGGAGAGTCCGGACGTGTGGCTTGAGGGATCGTCCATTACCCGCAAACCATTGCTCAATCGCATTACTTTGGCAGCCTGCAGAGAGCTGGCACTGGGATCGCAGCAGGGGCAGGCTTAACCCTTTAACCCCTGGGCTAAACAACGGCTCGGCGCAGCACTGACGTTCCTCACAGCCCACCTCAAACATACCACGCCGGTATTGGCAAAGTCTCGGCACCCCAGAACAGGAGCTAGTATTATATCAATCATCCAGCCCAGTTAATTGCTTCCAGAGGGTGAGGTGAGCTAGAGGTCATAGCCCATACCTAGCATAAAGATCCCTTCCCAAACGATCACCTTTCAGGCAGAGGTCCCAGAGTAAAAATCAGACTTGTTTGGTTGTGAGAGCTCCGTTCTCAACTTCAGCTTGCAAAAACAGAGTAAATTTCAAAAGTAAAAAATAAATAAAAGCAGTGTTAGGGTTATTGAATGGATTTTCAAATGTACTGGATTGATCTCAAGGAGTTTGCTTGTGCATGTTAGGACTTCCTCTGTGTCAAAGTTTGGCATGGCTTAGTTTCAACTTAAAAAAAAGGTATGTGTTATATACTAAGCTTGGATCCTAGAACAACAGGCAAGTAGGATCCTAGAATGCAACAACTGATTGGCTTGCAGGAAAACACCAATCAGGCTCTAGGAGGAAGTTAATCAGCCTATTAGGCTGGTAGGATTGTAGAATGCAACAACTGATTGGCCTACAGGAAAAGACCAATCAGGCTCCAGGAGGGAAGCAGAATCAGCCAATCAGAAGGGACTCATTGTGTAAATAATGTATATAAAAGCCTGAGGTTTGGGGGCAATTCACTCACTGTTTTACAAGCTGCAATAAAGAGCATGAAATCACTACAGGACTCCAAGTATATTTCAGTATGTGTCCCACCGAAGGAGGGAGGTAGACCAGGGCAACAGACAGTTCTTGTGTTTCTAGAGATGATGAATCATGCTTCTTCCTCCCAGAAGGTGCTGGCACAAACTGATCCTGCACATCACCTAACAGAATGCCTGCTATCCATTCCCACATTCTGCCTTGAAGGCACTTAGCAGTTACAGGCTCAGGCGTTATCATCAGCCTTGTTTCTTCTCTCTATTTTCCCTCCATTGTTGACCATCTAGCCTAGCAGTGGGGAGTCTCCAACCCACAGTCTGAATTAGGCCCACGGGGCCATTTGCCCCAAATGACACTCGCCTGCCCCATACCTAGGAATGGGGGTGAAGTTCAGTTCGCATTTAAAGTCAATGCTACCTAATTCACACTTTCTGAAATGCCAACCCAAACCCAACCATCCTTCAGAAGTCGCCCTTCTCCGAATTTTGCAATGCAGTTCTCCAGCCAGGAAACAGGTGCAAAAAAAGAAGAAGAAGCATATACTGGGGTAAAGAGTGCATAAAAATGCAAATAATAATAATAATAATAATAATAATAATAATAATAATAATAAATAAATAATAAATAATAATAAAATTTATTTATATCCCCTCCCCAGCCAAAGCCGGGCTCAGGGCGGCTAACAACAATAAAACAGTACAAAAGTACAGCATAAACAACACTCTAAAATCATTCATTATAAAATTAATGGTGAATAATGGTGAATATTGGTGAAAATGACCAAAGAAATGCATTGTATTAGGGGAAATTGCTTTGCAAAGATGTGTCCATTAGGGGAAATGCACACCAAAATGCTGACTAATATTTATTTTTAAAAATATGTATTTAAAAATGTCAACAGATTTGGGAAAATGTGGAGAAATGAAGTTAAAATTGGAAGAGTGAGAAACTAAAATTGATAGGCCTGCCTATCGCTACCCACAACTGATCTTAAAGGGAACTTTCAGATGTACCAATCCCTGCCCAAAGTGAGATAGATAGATAGATAGATAGATAGATAGATAGATAGATAGATAGATAGATATAGATAGATGATAGATAGATACAGTGGTACCTCGGGTTAAGAACTTAATTCTTTCTGGAGGTCCGTTCTTCACCTGAAACTGTTCTTAACCTGAGGTACCACTTTAGCTAATGGGGCCTTCCGCTGCCGCCACGCGATTTCTGTTCTCATCCTGAAGCAAAGTTCTTAACCCAAGGTACTATTTCTGGGTTAGCAGAGTTTGTAACCTGAAGCGTCTGTAACCCGAAGTACCACTGTATAGATGTAGATTGGTGCTAAATACAACCCCTGCTGGAATCAAGACCCCCTGAGTGCAACCAGACCCTGTAGAAAGTGGGAAACACAATCAGTGCCAATCAGTTGAACAGCACTTGACTGCAGCTCCCATTGTGATGGACTGCAGGGATCGTCCTTTGAAGCTCCACATGAGTTCAAGCTGGTCTGCAAAGAAAGGAATCGGGAGCACACTTGGAATATTCTCCCAACTCTTTCCTTCGAAGCCGGTCCTCTTGACGTCACGGTAGCCCACGAGGGCGGGGCTGCTCAGAATCTACCCTGCCAGCTGGATCTTTTCCTTCGCCCCTGACGCAGAACTCTCCTGGAGAACTCTCCTGGAGAAAATTGCACTCTATCTTTTTGACTATATTTTGGCTGGCCTATTGCTCTAATATGGGTTTTGGAACTTTACTTGCTGCCCAATGCAAACAGATGGTTGGATAATAATCAGTCTTATTACTCTTCCATGTCAGTTTTGCATGTGTCAATTTCCACCCTATTTTTACATTAACTTGCCATTAAAAAAACCAACATATCAATACAAAGCTTCATATTTAAATGCAGTCATGACTGTTTAAAGGGGAATGATACTGCTTTAAATGTATAAAGCAGATGAGTAATAATAATAATAATAATAATAATAATAATAATAATAATAATAATTTATACCCTACCCATCTGGCTGGGTTTCCCCAGCCACTCTGGGCAGCTTCCAACAAAATATTAAAATACAATAGTCTGTCAAACATTAAAAGCTTCCCTAAACAGGGCATCCCTCCTAATATGCACATTTTTAATGCACTTTTTCCTAATGTTCACCTTTTTTGCAAGCTATTTCCCCTAATGGAAATGGTTTCGATGTATAAATTTGTTTTAATTGCTTTAATTACGAGATTGTTTTACACATGTTTTACCCTTGGGATTTTTACAGCTAAATCACTTCGGGATGTTTCATAGGAAGTGATTCACAAATGGAATGCAATAATATAATGCTTTTGTGGATGTTTCCTTTACTGATAAATGCATTTCCATGCATAATTGACCCTAACCTGCTCATTCTTATGCACATTCTCTTGCTTAGAGATCTGCGTCACAAAAGTACGAATTTTGCAGGGCATTAAAATTCAAGCCAAACTGAATTCCTTCCCTATCCCTAGTATGTTCCCGGCTGAAACAAAATTGCTTATGCTAGTGGCCAAATGATGGGCATAACGCCTGCAGTGGAGACACCTGGGGAATTGCAAAAGATACTTTTGTAATGAAGCAGGCAATCCTATAGACAAGAAGCTGGTGTAAGTTAAGCAGGCATAAAGTACATCAGATCAAAACTCCATTCACTGCTGGGTGAGTCCCCCTAAGCCTGGCAGAGGGGAAACAATCCTTTAAAATAGTGTTAGAGTTACACCACCTTTTCACTGGCTTAGCAGGTCATGTGACTGAGCTAAACAGGTTCAGGATCCAACCTAAGTCCCTCCTCTCTGGTCCCAAAATGCCATGCCCCTGCAACGCCCCCTTTTAAGAGCTTATACTTCCATAGGATGGGTGTCAGGGGTTCAGGGAGAGAGGCACAGATGAGGGAGGAGACTGAGAGCGAGGGGGAAGAATCCAGGAACGAGGAGGAGGAGGATGACAATGACTTGAGGGCTTCCATGAGTCTCTCAAGTGAATTGGAGGATTCCCAAAAGGGGGCGCCCCTGGTCAGGCCAAGAGGAGCCACAGGGGGGACTCATCAGGAGCAGGGGAGCAGCAGGGAAACCCCGAGTGGGAGTGGGAGATCGGGGCCGGCTTCCCAGCCGGAACGGAGTGAAGAGGGTGGAGTTCCCAGTGTGACAGACGGAGCAGAGCAGGAAGCAGAGAGGGGAAGGAGATCGGGGCAAGACGTCCTGCCGGAAGGGGCGGAGAGTAGTACAGAGAGTAGTATAACTGTCAAGAGGAAGGTCAGGGGTAGCGAACGCGCGCCAAGTTCAAATGTGGAGGCGCGCGGAAATGCGGAGAGCCCAGAGGAGGAGCCTGGTCCCAAAGCATGGAGGAGGGGGGAGCAGGCGTCTGGGGACTCAGCGTCAGGGGAAAGCAGGAGGGAAGGAACCCAGGGGGGCAGAAAGACCCTGCGGAAAAGGAAGGACAGGAAGAGGTGGACCAGCACAAGCCTCTTAAACTGGTGTAGAGGCGGGACTGATTCAGAGGGGACTTCAGCGGTCTAAGCGTAACAGACGTGGGGCTGCGCGCCTCGGCTGTGGAACAAACAATGTACTTCAATAAAGACTTTTGTAAATAAAGTGGACTTGGCGTTGGTCTCTTGTGAGCTGGGACCTGAGGCGGCCCTGACAGTGGGGAATATATGTTGATGCATCTCCAGTCAAGCTGAGGGTGGGGCATTAATGCTAGCATAGCCCAGCTGCACAGGAAGATCCCAGCTCCACTGGAGATCCATGGGACCCTCACCCCTCTCATCCCAGTGGATCTTGCTGTAAGATTGGTGCATGCTCCAGTTATCTCCCACTTGGACTACTACTGCAATGCGTTCTACATGGGGCTACCTTTGAAGGTGACCTGGAAACTGCAACTAATCCAGAATGCAGCAGCTAGACTGGTGACTGGGAGTGGCCGCCGAGACCATATAACACTGGTCCTAAAAGATCTTCACTGGTTCCCAGTATGTTTTTGAGCACAGTTCAAAGTGTTGGTGTTGACCTTTAAAGCCCTAAATGGCCTTGGTCCAGTATACCTGAAAGAAGCATCTCCAGCCCCATCATTCAGCCCGGACACTAAGGTCCCGCTATGAGGGCATTCTGGCAGTACCCTCAGTGTGAGAAGTGAGGTTACAGGCAACCAGGCAGAGGGCCTTCTTGGTAGTGGCACCCATCTTGTGGAACGCCCTCCCATCAGATGTCAAGGAAATAAACAACTACAGTGGTACCTCGGGTTAAGAACTTAATTTGTTCCAGAGGTCCGTTCTTAACCTGAAACTGTTCTTAACCTGAGGTACCACTTTGGCTAATGGGGCCTC